GGAATCAAGGCGGCTTGCATTTCGGTGATTTGCCCCTGTCCCGATGTGTATAACGAGCTGATCGGCCAACTCCGAATAGAAGTGTTTGTAATGACCCGCCGACAACGCCGTCCGATAGTCTCGCGAATCGTAATTTGCGATGGAACGACGCGTGGTATGGTCTGACGATGATTCAAGGATACCCTCTAGTAGTCACGCTGGTAATTTATACCCCGCCTGTGACAGCTGTTTACTGAAAACACGCCGTCTAACGTCTAATAAAAGCATAGAGCTCTCACATAAGTCGTGATGCGTAATGAATATCGCAACATGCTCTTATCTCTTTTGCCCCGATAATCCGCCGCTTTGGCGTACGCTTCATCAACCATTCTCTTTGTCGAACAACAAAGCGACGATATGTCTCTTTAAAGCTGGCGGAGGAGACGACTCGGGCTGCAACACGAGCCAACCCGGACAATCGATCCACGCTCTATCCCAGATAATTCCCATGGAACGTAGCTTCGCGAGCGTTCGAATAGAAGCGCTATTGATAGATGGACACGTTACAGTTATTTATGGATGCTATCTCTATTATTGTCCTTACACGAAACGACCTCGCGGCTAATGATCGCCCTGCGGCTGCCTCACATGGCAGCTGGTGTCCTTAGGCGTGGCCATTAATAAAATCGCCGGCTGTAACGGATATCTTACGTGCTTCTTCGCCGACTTTACAGAGAAGACGATAATGACGACGAGATGGGGATGTGATGGAACCAGCGGAAACAAAGGGAATCACCGTCTGCCGGATAAAGCCGGGTTCGGCTAAACTCGAGCAACGACAGTCATCATCGAAGCTACGAAATGCCGTAGAATGATACCTGCCTCCTGTTCTCTTCGTCTTAACGAAGAGGATGCCGAAGGTCGAAATGGCGTGGAATTAGGTTGCTGCAATTCGCCGATATTATCGTCTGCGCATTGTGGCGAAAACTCTAATTTGAGGTAAATAAAAAATTTACCTCGAAATATACACGGTGAAGTCATATGATGGTGTGTACACGGAAGATAATGGGCAGAGGGATCCCTTTTCATGTTTCACCCTTTATCGCTTAGGGTGTCGGGTATCGATGATTTTTTTTCAGATTTAAAGAGCGCGCCATAATAACGGCTTGATCGTCATCGTAGTCGTCAGCTGCCGCATTACGTTGATCGGCTGTTGAGCGATTTATTTATTGCAAAACTATCGGGCGATCAGCAGCGCCGAGATAATTAAATAAGGCGAACCGGCGATAATTAAATAAAACGGTATGTTAATGAAAGATATAAACGACTTCGTTAGCACCAGCATAACCAGTAGCTGGTAAAATGCACCGGTATTACTCGAGATACAAAGGCCATCGATATACGGACGATAATTAGTGTAAAGAAAGAAGCAAGCGCGGACAAGGTCCCCGTAATTTACGACATTCTCTGTTAAGCGAAGCTCGCACGACTGACCGATCGCTCCGATAAAAATGTTGATTTGTGTCAGGTGCGAGTATACGATAACCTACGTCTGGAAGTTCATTCCGATGCATCGCACGCTCGTTGTCTACTATTTCATTAAACGATGTTAAGGAACATATTAATTTGCGCTTGACGAAACAACTCGGTTAAAATCCTTTACTCCTCTTCAAGCATTTTTTTGATAGCGTACAATTAAATATTTCTTAATTCATCGTTAAGAGAGATTTTTCCGAAATAATTTCTTTTGATAAATGCGAAATCTTATTAATCCTAGAATGTATAGATGATTAGAAAAAAAATCAAATAAAGACCCGAAAAAATTTTCAAAAATAAACAACTATGATTAGTGATAAATAATTAAAAAATTTTAATCAATATAATTTATTAATTCCCCTGTGGGGTTACAAAGATTTCTCCTTCAGCTTGATAAATAAATCATGACATGCTTTAGTAACATATAACTTCACGTGAGAATATCAGTACACTAAAAAATGAAATGATAATAATAATAATAATAATAAAACAAGCGAGAGTAATATTTAAAATCTCGTGGGATAATTTATGCCAATTCCAATATCCATTCCAAAATAAAAATGTGGATATCCCATTCGCGATTAGATCAGAACTGTTAGACGAACGTCATTGAGAATTCCGAAATGGTTATGTACTTTTCATCGTCGTCGTCGTCATTTAACAGAACCAGAGGCGTGTTTCTTTAGGCGTGAACGGCGGCTCGAGTTGTCTCCGTCAATTATCGCGCGAAACACCTGACTTATCGCGTGCGACCTACGTCGGCGTCGCCGGCTAGGCGGATTTCGTTACTGGCTTTAATTGCGAGCATTTTAACGACGATTCCTTATGCGTCTCGCGTGCTTCTAATGCGCGGTCTCGCGCCATTTCGTGTCAGGACCGAAGCACAACACTCCGACGCAATGGGAGAATTCCCCTGCGCGATTAGACGTTAAAGAGTTAATAGCCGTAATTTTGTTTCATTGATTAACGAGAGAGCGTATCGTCGTCGCTGACGAGTCCCGGAAATAGTGTGGAAAGAATCAAAAAAAGTTCCCGAGCGAAGTCGATCTAGCTCTGGACGGTTCCCGTCAAATCTAAAGGAGATACGTACGGGAATAAAATCGCTACAACTATTGATCTTCCCCCCAAAAAGTATCAGCGAATACTGCTTTATACGCCCCTCCACGGGCAACCCCTTTTCAACTTCGCAACAACCCAAACACCAAGCCGCGTGCAGAAAGTACATTACACGGTATCCGGATTGCCAAGTCACGCGCGAGGTCCAACAAAAGGGATTGGACCACTCTGCCCCTTTAACTTTCTAACTGTGTGCGAAACATCGATACGATTGAGCGATCTAGAAATGAGCTACGCTGAAATGGACGTGGAGGTGAGAAGGACCAGATATATATGGCGTACGTAGACAATGCACAGGGCGAGATCAACGAGAGAGGTTGTCGGAGGTGGAACAAAGAGAGAGGGAACAGCATCTGCAGTGGGGTGGATAATACATTTGTTCGTTAACCGTCGCGAAGCCGTCGGGCCCGAAAAAAGGGAGAGTAAGAGAGGGTCATGGCTGATGGTGTTCGTGCAAATTTTTGTATGAAGCGATTCCGACGCGCGACGATAAAATCCACGTCGCGCTTCAGGACAGGGTGGTAGGGCGAAGGGTCGGCACAGAGGAGGATAAGTGAGAAAGAGAAAGAGAGAGATAGCTCGTCGGCTCGAAGAAACGAATTAGCCGGCTTCAGCCTGATCGGGTCGACAACACTACACCGGTGGGGAGGAACAAAAGTATGGAGTAGTGGGTAAAAGCCAGTAGAAGGGATGGCAAAGTAGGCGTGTCGTAGAGGAGGGACGAGGATGAAAGGGGATGGGCTGAAAAGTGCAAAAGTGGGGGAAGCTCAAATGGGGCGGAGAGAAGTGGATATTCTCGTTATTGTGCTCGCAGTGGCGCGGATATCCATCTATTCTCGGTCTGCCCATTATGGACCATCTCTAAACAAAGTCCTATATCGTGTGCATAAAGTAGCTTCGTCTCTTACTGCATGATGTACACAGTAAAAAATTTTATGTTATAAACGGTCCACTGAAATTTTCGTGTTACTTTAACAAGATGAATATGAATAAAAAGTAATATATCAACAAGATGAATATATTAATTTAACATATATTTTTTAATATACAAATGTTAAAGTAACATAAAAATTTCGGTAGGTTCAGTTTTAATAAATTTTTCACTGTGCACGGTTAAAATGTATGTACCTCATTAGTATGTTTTCAACTCGAGTGAATAGTATAAAACCAAGGACTTTGAAGGAATCTCTTTCAGCATAGTGTTACTACAATCAATACTACAAACGAGGAACCTTTCCTTTTTAACCCAAATATTGTGTATTGTTTGGACAGGTCAAAGTGGGCCTTGCGGATTCAGGTAACGGTTTAGGCAATTTCTGGGTGACCCTACTCTGGTTCAACTTTGGTTTACACGGACAATCCGCAAAATTCCAAAGAAGCGGACTAAACAATCCTATTCCACTAATCGGCCGATTTTGGCGGAGAAGATCTGGAGGAAAGAAGCGCCTGGAGCAAAGGAGGAAGCCGGTGTCCGCAGCATTGATCCGCGGCAAATTCGTGAGCACAGTCCCCTACTACCGGTACCACTGGCGGTGGGGATATCGTGGGAGAGGAAGGGAGCACACCTTACGCGAGTGGGCGGAGCATTTGACCGAAGAGTTAATAGAGATACAATCGAGGGTGTCTAGTGCACTGCACTCCGGACTGCGGCGTAGGAGGAGAGAAGGGGCCAAGGGTGAGGTGAGGAGGGACAGGCGGTAAGTAGGGACCCCGGGTCCCCTAGTTTAGACATCACTGAGCGACGGATGGACAGCCAGTCAGACCCGTCACAGCACTCGCCGGAGTACTCGGAAACCTCGGGAAAAGCCGATACCGAGAGAGTCTTCGGTTTGGACCGGCTCCAAAGACGAGCCGATAATTAACACGCCGCTCTCATACCGTGCCGCAGGTACGGTCACGGGAGCTCACTTTTTTTTTGCGATACGTACGATACGGTATTGGTACGTGCAAGTGGACCTGATGAAGCCGATGGGGAAGACGGCGAAGCACCGGAAGAAAAGAACGTTCTCTCGCACAGTGACAACTCGCGGCAAGCCCTGAGGAATGTAGTATACAAACAACGCATCTCGTTGGGACATTGGTGGCACGTGGTGCACAGTGTTTGTTTCGGTTTTGTAAAGGGGCCCGCAGCGATTCACGGAGAATCGTCGCGTCGTCGTGATTATATCTTGACGGTAACCTAGTCTACGCGCGGAACGATTCGCGTGACAGAAGTGGACAATGAAGCCGGCGATGTGTTTTTTCTCGTTCTCCCTCCCACGAACATAACCACGAAGAGTCAGTGCGTCGTTATTGGGTTCCCGTAATCGCTCTTGTGAGAGACACGTGACAGAGACATCCACAGAGTGGAGTGAGTATTTTAACGTGAAATGAACATAACTGTGTCGCCCATGATAATCATACGCAATTTTCCGTTAAAGATGGGCGGCCACTATCCTTACAATCCTCATCTCTACCACCCTTCACATGTACATATGTTTTCACCCGGGAGCCGTATGTTGCATCAAGAGAATCAGCCATCGGATGACGGCGACCAGCCGGATACCGATACGCCATTACGTTTCAGTGTCGATAACATCCTCAAGCCCGAGTTCGGCCTCAAAGCTATTCTCGACTCGAAGACGCCGAAAGAAACGTCCGTACGATGTACGAACAGGCACACAACGGTACAAACTTCGGGTAACGCGCTTTCACTTCCGCGGGATCTAAGCCTACCGTCTACACGGCTGTCACCGCCATTACCTAATGCAACAAATTACACAACCCGAGACAATAGGGACACTTTTTCGACGCATAGCGGATTGGCGTCGCCTTTACAAAGGCATAGCTCAGCTGGACTCAGCAGGAGCGGTAGCGTAGAAAGTCTCGCGTCCAACCGGAGTTCAGTAACCAATAGCTCGGTCACCAGACCGTCATCCCTTTGCTCAGCGTCGTCCACTATTAGTGGCGAGTCTTTGAATGGCGAAAGCGCGCAGTCCAGTAGCAACGGCGGTATCTCAACGAGTCAGAATTCTACTAACGGACAGAGCTTGTGGCCTGCGTGGGTGTACTGCACCAGATACTCCGACAGGCCGTCTTCCGGTAAGTAAACGAATTTTCGTGGAAAATCGATTGTTTTATGCGCCCGTAATGTAATATGCGCGCTCGTAAAGTGAGTGAATATCGAGTGTAGCGTTTACGCGAGTGTACGGACGAGAATAATATGCGCGATTTTACACTGGCGAAAAGCTAGTGACTCGAACGTGAAAAACGTGCTGCAAGATCGTCTGCCTTTGTCGTTGGTATTGTCAGGTGCTTCGTTTTTTTCCTAAACTTCGTCACGGACGTGATTGTCCGCGTGTTTACCTTCGGCTATCGCCACGCGCCAACATCGGGAGCATCGTACGTTAACGTTCGAACATCACGCTTGAACAATAACTTTACTACCGTTAAGGGAACTCGACTATTTTTCTAACGTGTTAATATCCGTCTCGCGCTATTCTATTCCATCGTACCGACACACGTCCGACAAAGTAACGTTCGACGGGGAGGAGGGGAGGGGAAGGAGGAAGCGAAAAAGCCCAGAAATTCAATTCAGATTTTTCGTGCGCGCAGCACGTGACTTGCGCTTCAGCCGCATGCAAGAAGAACTCGCGTGGTCGCGAGACGTCGGAAATGCCTATCAAGATGTTTTGCTTGCCTATACGCTCCATACGTACTTACAAAATCACGATCGGCGGTTAATTAAAATCCCCATCAGAGCGTCTGAAAAATTACGCGGCCACGGAGATAAGCGAAATCCCTCGACGAGCGAAACATGTGGCTCCCGCTTCGTGGGCTTATCGCGGCTTTCGTAGCCGGAGGTCACGCGGACTGAAGGCGAGTCTTTGTGCGATTAAGGAGCTTACCAAGGTAATCGCCGCTTTTCGCGCGCGTAATCACGTAATCTTACCCTGTGATTCGTACTTTCGTGGTTTAGCGACTCTATTCGCCCCGACAGACGAGACGAGACGAAACGAAACGAGGCGAGACGAAACAGAAACGAGACGAGGTAAAGGTACAAATACACGTGACGAATTAATGGATGGTTAACTTTCTAACAGTACATGGAAAAAAATGTTAGGTTAAATTAATCAGAAAGTGGACAACCAAACCGCCTTTTGATGGAATATCAGGGTTGGATATCTGAATAACATTCGTAATTTGAATACTATCCAGATATTTGGGTGTCCAAGCAAAACTCAAAAAACTTGGATCCTCGGGTAGAACCCATGAGTATGAATACTCAAATATTACCCAAGTAGTCAGGTAATACCTTAAAGATTCGGACACCCGGCTACTCATAATTGATATCACTTTGACCTATTCGTGCATTCGATAAACTTATTTCAATGATTAATCGCTCACGTGCTGTTCCGCGTTAACGACATGGACAAATCACGATTTGCCGGCGACGCCTCACCGACGAATGGCAATGGTCTCCGCTTCGAGAGTGTCTAATTACGCATTTTCTCATTAGAGATATGTGATCGTTCGCTCTCCATAAAATAAACGATAGCCGAGACGCGTATGCCTAATACGCCCATCTCGTTCGATATTAACGCGGTAAGTTATTATGTTCTCGCGCGAAAGATGCGAAAACGTCGCGCGGAAGGATCGCGCGAGCTGCATACGTTATATCCGAGTTGAGAAGAGAAAGAAAGAGAGAGAGAGAGAGAGAGAGAGAAAGCGAGCATTAGCTTCGAGTGTGAGTGCTAGCTAGGCGAGGTTAACGGCCCGATGCCACCTGCGCTGGTTCGCAGAGCTTAATTGTGTAGAACCTACATTTGCGAACTACCCTCTACAATCAGTGTCCTACATACGAAAGCGTATATTTCTTTCCCTCCACCTCCTTCTTCTTCTTCTCGTCCTCATTGTCGCTTCTTCCGTCTTCTCTCGCTCATCTTTATCGAGTCGGTTCGGTTCCTCGTCTGGGCTGCTACGCGTCTCGATTCGACAATCGTCTCATTAATTACCGCGAGTAATTCATTCAGCTTCACTGATGAACGTGTTGATCACCGAAAGTGGATTCAACGCGACGATACATTTTTTCAGGCAGAGTATACGCGAATGCGAGGGTTCGTTTCGTATCATTTTCGCATAGCACGAAATCGCAGGTCTCGTGTAATAGTGTATTAATAAAAAAAAAACAGATTACAGACTGAAAATCGATAGACCAGATATTAGCGGTCGTTCGATAGTGGAACGCGCCGCCACTCGTTATTTGTAATTGAGGTTCGGGCGATCGTTGTGGCAAGAAGGCCGCGATTGCAATTTCTCGCAGTGCCGCAGTCGATGTTTAGCGCGTTTTTGAAGCGATAATAATATTGGCATTAACATTGACGATCGTTGCCTGGATATGGTCGTTAAACCTCTCCTTTCTTTCATATTTCTTTTTTCCTTCTTCGGGAATCGGATTACGCGAGTTCTTTTAGTAGCAATAATAATGAAGGTAATTATGTGTACTTTACATATTATCGATATAATAATTACAGCGTCATAAAGATATACCCCGAGTTACAAACGGCTGAAGCGACCGCTTAACGGTTTCCGTGGAGATAATAGTAATAAAATCGACGGTAACTGCAACGCGAGCGAAAGCACGCGGATGTGTGCGCCGGCTAGACGGTCGCGTTATCTATATAGTTAAATAAAAAATCGAAAACACGTAATGCTAATGCTCGAAACTTGCCGATGAACGTTACTTTTCGATGACACACGCGATACAAGGTGATCAACCTGCTCGTTTACGGTCTTTAAAAGGCGTGTCTCGCGAAGTTCCGATCGTTGTCGCGACAAATAAGAGGAGCGCGCAGTCTCGAGACTCGATCTTTCTTTTTTTATTTAGTAATAAAAACCCGTCGCGATTATTCGTGTAATGTAACTGTATCGCGTTTATGATTGTCGTGTTGGGGTCGACGTTGAGAATATAAATTAACATCGAGGGAGAGAGAGAGAGAGAGAGAGAGAGAGAGAGAGAGAACACAGATCGCGCGAAATTGAAATACAGTTCGCGCGAGAGCGCGGATAGAATCTCAAGTACGACATTCTTCCGCGGTTAATCGAACTATTTCCCTCTTCGGTAAATTCCGAAGTAGTTGGTCAGATATAATTATCCCGAGAAGTGACCTTCCTCTACGGTGTTCTCGATCGCTCGCTCGAATCGTCACAAAAACGCTGATTCACAGCGGTGGACAAATTGATGAGAAGTTTTTTTCACCGACAATAAGCCCAACATGTTTCTGATCCTCTGCCCTGCTTTTCAGCTACAAGATGCGCGAAGATTAATGTGTAGCTACTTTGTCCGTTTTCAGGACCGCGTACGAGGCGAGTGAAACGTTCGCAGAACAGTAAGAATAGCACGCCGGAAGAGAAGCGGCCGAGGACGGCCTTCAGCGCCGAACAACTGGCGCGTTTGAAGCGGGAATTCACGGAGAATCGATATCTCACGGAGAGGAGGCGACAGCAGCTTTCGCAGGACCTGGGCCTGAATGAGGCGCAGATCAAGATCTGGTTTCAGAATAAACGGGCGAAGATCAAAAAGGCGAGCGGACAGAAGAATCCGTTAGCACTTCAGCTGATGGCGCAGGGCCTCTACAATCACTCCACCGTGCCGGTGGACGAGGACGGCGAAGAGATCGTAACCGGAAGGAATCCCTGAGACGCGGGCGAACTCAGATATGGAAACGAGTTTCGTTGAATTATTAAGCTGTGGTATTTCGACTATGAGTGATAAAGACTGAATATGAGTTAAAAAGAGGGATAGAGAAAAATGAATATTACAGAAAAGGAAGATCTTATATATAACGTGCAATTGTTTCATATCGTTTATCACGATAAGTACTTTTTACCTTAATATATCTCATAGTTATATATTTTTTTTAGGTCCTTAGTTATATGCGAATTTGTAAATTAAATTATTATTTACAGGATCTCCCTGGATCCTGGTCATTGAATGAATTCTTTAGAAGAGCAAAAAATATTCGCTACCGGTTTTAATTGATATAGACATGTTGTAAAAAAGTGATAGATGGAAATCTCATTTTATTATATATTCATTCGTATATTTAGGAGTTAAGATAATTCGACATGATTTCAATGTCCTCGGGTGATTAATTTTCATCGAACATCATCCGATTTAAGTACTAAAACCTTCAAGTACATGAAAATATATTTTATTGCAATAGTTTATTTCTAGATTTTTGGTGCCGTAATAATATTAGTCGTAGGAGACAAAAATTAATAGATAAAAACAACTTTATGAGAAACGTGGCGCTCATTTCAAAATCAAACCAAGTATTTATCTACACCACAAAAGCCCAAAATATCATATTACATGTTAATTCTAATTAATTGTACGCGTGACAATGAGATTCGTATTTTATTAAGAAATATTGAACTACACTACTGTGGCGTGAAATATCATGATTCGAGATGATATCTTGTTNTATCAAGTCTTATATTTATCTAATGATACTAAAAAATATGTAGAATTCATGTTATATTCTTGTTATTTATTTTGTTTTTGTAAATAATATGTAAATATATGTATACTATATAGGGTGTCCCAGAATTACCGTATATCTTTAACACTACCGATTCTTTGGGACATTTTAAGATAAGATTTAAATACAAAAATGGTGAGGCTACAATAATTTTTAAATTATAAACGACTAAAGTTATTTAATCAAACTGATATTTCTCGCTCTTAGGCAATACGGACAATGATACGAGTGCTAAATATTAAGAAAAAGATCCATTTTCATCATGATAATATATTTATTACTGTCTATAATAATAATAATAATAATAATAATAATAATAATAATAATAATAATAATAATAACAACAATGTTTTATTGCAAAAAAATAGTACAGTGTGAATTAAGGTATCCAACAAATTGAAAGTGACCAAAATATGTAACAACAGCTATGCAGCTAATTTAAATGCATTGCCTTAGCAAGGACTATAAATGCAAAGTAGGAAATAAAGTAAAAAAGTCTAAAAGTAAAAAGTTCATATTGCTACATTTGAGTGCGGAAAATGCCAGCCGTACGATTAGGCGACTTTAATTGTTTACAATTTAAAAATTATTGCAGCCTTACCATTTTCGTACTTCAACTTTCGTCTTAGAATGTCTCAAAGAATTTATTATGTTAAGAACATATGATGATTTTACGACACCCTATATAAGTTTTACGTTTGTGTATATGTAAGATAAAAAAGTAGATTAGAAAAATTATATTGAATTATATTGATATGATCTCATATTTACGTATAATGTTTTACAATATACATTGTTTTATCTAATATTATATTAAATATGTAAGCAAGTTTGATTGTACTATAGTATGTCCTAAATATATGTTATATCTAAGTGTTTTTGCGATAACAGATCATAGTAATCTATGTAATTCGCTTATTCATAATTAAATTGAAGTAAAAATGAAACTCGTCCTCACTACATGCGTTTCCTCCTCTCTTCTCTCCCGGAATTATCTCTCGAAATTCATCGGAGCTAGTTGATATTAATAGAGAATATTTCAGGCTCTGACGATATCGATAAATCGATTTAGATAAGCGCAAAAATTTAGGAAAATATGCCATCTAATAAGCGATTCAATCGTATTTCATAATATATATTTATTTATTTATTTATCTATTTATTTATTTATCTATTTATTATAACTTGTGAATAGCAAACTATAAATTAATATGTGAAATTTTGTAATTTTCGTGACAATATTTGTAAAAGAAAAAGAAAACGACATGGAAAAGAAAAAGAGAAAGGTACACGAAATACAATAATAAAAGTTTAAATAAAAATAATAAAAAATATAAAATATATGTGCGATTATACGCCGAGTGAACAATAAGAGATAAAAATATCTACAACGAATTTACCTCCAAATTAATTTAATGTAATAAATCTTAATAACGATTTCTTTCTCCCTGTGTTCCGTTTTCGATCGAGATCATTTGCTTGAGAACGATAAACTCTCCGTGAACCCGGGTGTCCGCAAGAGAATTGACCCGGGTAGTTAGTGAAGGCGGCCGAGAAATGACAGCACGACAGCCACTAGTTCGAGAGCGTGTTCGCGCGCGGGTCGCGTTGTAACGATCGACACGAGATAAACGATATGGGCGCGCACCTGTTAGTCGATACGAAGTTCCAACGGCGGGCGCGCGAACGGATTTACGAGAGCGTTGTTTTTTCTCATCGTATACAGGATATAATAAGGCTATCGACAGTCGTGCCGCGGGGAGTAGAGATTACGGTCGTGAAAAAGGCAGAGGATATCGCGCGCATGCATACACGTGCGCCGCTGGGATTCTTATGTACACGCGAAAGTCATAACGCAAAATTAACGAGAAGGGACGGGGGGAGGGATTTCGAACACGGTAGCATTCCTGAAACGAACGTACACGCGATAATCGCGCGTGTACGCAGTAACAATCCTTGAACATTCCTCGCGAATAATTGCCGAATCCGTGGATTGAATTTTCATTCGGATAATCGATGGATCCATCATGTGGCAATACACGGGCGAGAGAGAGAACGGAGCGCCGCGTTAAGTTGCGCGGCGAATTTTGATTTCAATGCGGTCCCATCGCGTGCGATTAGCTTCAACGATTTGAGAGCGTTAAAGTATTTATTCGCCGGGCATTCACTGTTTCTTAATGACTCGTGCGTCAATTAATAACAGCGCGGCGCGCGTGCGTCTCGTACTTGTAAATTCGAGCCGGTTTTTATCGACGCGAGCTACGGGCGCCTACGCGCTCGCCTTTGTGCCGAGCGACACAGCCTCGTCCGCGCCTCCTATATTATTATTAATCACCATAAATTTGAATGCGCCATACGAGCGAGGATCGACATTAACCGAGCGACTGTCGCTCTATCGTTAGGTATTTATTTACGTGCGATCGTCCAAGCTGGAATAATTCGCGAAATCAACCGCGTTTCGATCGCCGTCCGTGATTCATTGGTCGCATTAGCACGCGGCATGCATCTGACGCACTCTCGCGTCAATAAACGCGCGAAACGATTGCGAGCGACGACTCTTTACGCGCTTTGGAACGGTTCGTATCGATCTTCGCGGAGGCTCGTAAATTTCCCGCCTTTTTCGTTTTTCTTTTCTTTTTTATATATAATTCGCCGCTAATCAGCCGACCCATATTTCATGGCTTAACCAAGGACGTCCGGCCGTGGAATACGGCGGCGTAATATTACTTATCATTAATTTAAACGCGGCGCAAACACACCGGACCGGGGGGTTGAACGAGTGGCGGAACGCGCGCGCGGAAGGGCAACGACGACCTCCGCCGTCGTTGGATACAAACGCGCGGATGGTGGGCCAAACCGGGGATAAATTACAGAGTCGTTGTCCTGGCCATTGTATTTAACTGCGGCGATGCGTAATTGCTGGAACGCCGTTGCATACGCGCGGGAAGGAGGGTGCAAACGAGAGCGACAAGGAAGGAGAGCACTGTAGTAGAACGCGGGAGCCGACAGGAAAGAGCGAGAAAGGGTGACGAAGGTGGTCGAAGAGGACGAAGGACGAGTTAGAACGTAGAGAAGAGCATAGTGTGAGGGACTATGCTTGTCGGGAGAGGCGAGAGAGAGGCGGAAAGAGAGGAACAGGGGCGAGAAGGGGCACTTGCCTCTCTGTGGTCGAGAACCGTAGTCATCGGAATGGCCATTAGAGGTCTGTACGTTCCCACCAGTGGCTCACTAAATTTCACCTTCTTATGCCCCCGCGGACCACCTTGCGATCCACGTGAATTAATGGCTGCGGTGCCTCGCGCGCACCGTTTATTACAATATCAGCCGCTGCGGAAGCGGCGGAGTTTCGCGTTCGTGAATTCGCAGCGCGCAACGCGCGCGACGAACTAGTTCTCGGTTAACAACGGCAACAACGGCCGTCGTTAATTACACGTGTCCAGAAACATATATACGCGTGAATTTTATTACGATGCCCGATGGACCGCTGGACGCTCCACTGCCCGTAGCTATGGCCGGTCAAATTTCAACCCCGTCGGCGGATATTTCGCGAAGCACTGAGGGGTGAAATACGTGGCTGCTGTAAATGGTAATTCGATGCAACGCGTACGGACATGACGTCCGACACAGGTATTTTAGGAAATTCTAATTATGCGATTACGGGCATACGAAGTTCCTTGAAACTCCTGCTTATAACTCATGGTTGAAAATAGGTTTGATTAATAAACATTACTTTTATCATTCTTTTCATAAGAATATTTGTTGTTTTTGCATTATTAAAATCGACAATGGTCCAATTTTAACGACATTTGTGCTTTAATTTATATTTTGTAGATATCTTTTACTGGTTTAGCAATCCCTGCTCTTTATAAATCCTAATCATAATCTTTCCCGTTATCTGAGATAAAAAGGTAATCGAGATTCAATAGTATAACCCGATGAGAACATTATAATAAATCTTGACTAATGTTCTGATTATATCACGTAGCGTCACATGACTTCTCAGGATAGTATAACCTTAAAAGGACCCGATAATCAGTTAAGGTCAAGCCAAGCTATGGGATAAATTTTTAATCAGACTGACAGAACGGATTTACCACTACTGATCGTATCGACTGCAATTTTTTCATCTGCATGCAAGCTCGTATATAAATACTTT